GTATATGTAGATAAATGACTAAAAATATTGGCTTTGGAAAATTGGGTTTCCAAGCCCTAAAAACTGCACTGGATGCCTTTTTTAACAGTTTTTCTGGGAAGACACACAATATTCTGATTTTCTGGTGTGCTTTATGTATTTTAGACTTTTTGGGGGTGTCATTTGTTCCATAATCATTCACTGCTTGCCCTTTTCCTTTTCTTTCATTTTCTGCGACCTTCATTTCAAACCACTTCCTGGCCACCCCTGAACTTGGTGAATGGAACGGTCCGGTGTCTAGCAGATTTCTACTAGTACTGGTTTCAATTTCCAGGCATTTTTGTGGAGAATGCCATGTGAGGTTGTTACCCTGTGGATTATGCTCTGTTACGGCCTGGGTGCAGGGATAAAAGACTATAATCCAGGCTAGTCAAGGAACAACCTTGGAACGTAGTAATAAGCTTTAAGCATGGCCACGTCAAGTCAATAGACCGATCCCATCTCCTTCAAAACTTAGAAATACTACTAAAAATACAACATTTTGAGAGGGCCTGAATGGGGGAGTAGTGATTACGACTTACACAAAATTCACACCGCTGATTATTAACGAATTATGTTAAATTCTGATTACGACTGATTGCAATATTACAAATAACGTTGATTTTTGGGGAGGCTGCCTACGGATTACGAAGACTAAAAAGGCCTGATTACGCCTTACGAAAAAGGACATGCAGGCCCCCATTTGAGAGACATGAGAAACCACTGTCTCATTGGTCGAACTGCTAATTTAATTGCCATGACTATACTCTATAGTACCAAGATAGATATGAGCAAATCATTACAAGTATCAGCTCACCAAACAGTTGTTCAAATGACAAGCATGGTTTCTATTTATTGAGATTTTTCATCTTTGAATCACCCTCTGAGTCTGAGTCATCCATGTAGACAATAGTTCACTATATAATATTAATAAGTGAGCCTCACATAATTCCACACATATCCTTATAAATAATTTTACATTAACAGATCAAACAATGGGCCACTGTTTCTACTGCACTATAGTATGGTCAAGCAATTAAAGTTATATTTGCTTTGCAACAATTGCAGAACTACTACTACTACTACTAGTACTAGTAACTACTGATTGATAGAAGATCTAGAACAAAAATGGTAGAAATATTTTGTAGCCTCCATCGCATGCCAAAAACTGGAGGTTTTGGGGTCTTCATTGTCTTTGGGAGCTTTTATGTGCTATTTTCTGATTGCATATAGACAACATAGCCGACCTGATTGAATTACCCCCGCTTTTTGAACTGGGCTGATCAGAAAACAGCTGAAGACCACCAAACCCCCAGTTCTATAAGCCTGCTATGGAGGCTAATTAATATTTTGGGCCTTGAGCTATTCTGTCAACCAAGCGTCTGACTAAGTATGGCCCAAGGTTAGCAGAAATTACACGACAAGAAAAACAGCTATTTACCCAGAGGCAAAGTCTTTAATGGATTCTCTTCCCCCTAGGTCAACACGCTTCAGGCTCCATCAAGCAGGGATTACGGCGGACAATTTCAAAAGAGGACGGGGCAAATACAGGAACCTGAACATGTCCGATTATTTGTGTCTCCTGTTAAAAAAAAAACAGCAGAGAACTAACAAAATTCTATTAAAGGCCAAGTTTTTATGGATGATATCCATGCATGCATTGATTTTCATCTGAATTCATGAAAAAGAACTAAAGAAGAAATTTTGTTGCCCTCCAAGAAATACCGAAAATGGGAAATTCAAATAAGTCATAAAATTCTATCTCTTCAGTCACAAAACAAAGTTGTTATTCTGTCACAAAACAAAGTTGTTAGCCTCCATAGCATGCCAAAAACCGGGGGTTTTGGAGGTCTTCAGGGTCTTCGGGAGCTTCTATGTACTATTTTCTGATTGCATATAGACAACATAGCCGGCCTGGTTGAATTAATTTAGTGGTAGAATCACTCTGTCTTTAGAACTGGGCTGAGTCTGCAGAGGATGTGATCCATAAAATTTAGATGCTTTGGCCTAATCACTCTAAAAGCAGGGTGGTCCTACGTTTAACTTGTCGTAAAATATCATCACTTTTAGGGATGTTGTAAAAAAAATGCAAGGAAAAAGAGGCGAACTGTTCTGTCCAGATTAAAAAGGTACGATAACAGCAAGGCTTGAAATTCATTTTTAGGAATAGGTGCAATGGTGCACCCAGCCTAAAAAATTAGGTGCACAAAAAAATTGTTGAGTGCACCATATAAAACAAAATAAGTAGAATGTCAGGAAAAACTAATTATGTTTAATATCTAAATTCAAATGAAAGCACTAGTAGTACAAGAATGATTTTATTATTTTTCTGACACTTGGATGTTAAGAATATGCTGTATACATAACTAACTACTAACATCTTAACAAACGAAAATGTACGAAAACCTGTGCACCCAAAGAAAAATTGCTCCAAGGTGCACATGCACCCAGTACTGTAATTCTTGATTTTTTTACTGTACTGATACTAGTATGTTCACTGTTTTCATGATCACTGTCCCTTCTGTACCATGAACTTATCATTACAGTTAACAAATAATTCCCGGACTTTCTTTTTCCTGCACCTGTTGCCACCGTGAATATATAGTTCCGTGAACATGTCCATTTTTCTCAGACCGTGAACTTTTGCTACCGTGAACATAAAGTGAATTCGAGCCCTGAAACAGCATTTAGGCCACAGCAACTTGAGCAAGTAATTTTCGCCTGATTTTAGAAAAAAACAAAAAACAAGAAATTTTGTTGCCTTCTGACAGTGGTCACCATGCCAAAAATAGGCTAAGATGTCTGTTGCCATGCCAGAAGGTGGATGGTAGATAAGAGAGGAGACAAGACAAGGCTTTGATTTTATGTTTTGTTTCTTACTTTGATGCAGTGATATGTGATGTTGGCTGTGTATATGTGATGTTCCCATTTAATCAAAACCATTTGTAGTATTGTACAATGATTGAGTCAAAATTTCAAAATGTAAGAACCTTGTTTTTTTTGGCCTGCCTTGTTTTTTTTAGCCCGCTCGCATTAGATTTGGAGTCTGCGGAGGATGTCATCCATAAAATTTACTTGCTGTGGCCTAAAGTGAATTCGAGCCCTGAAACAGCATTTAGCCGATAATAATAGCAGACAACGGTGAACTGGAAGAATCAAATTAGTATTCCGTCTCAGGCCGTAAAATTTGATGGGATCACCCGTCGTCAATCCAATTATCTCACAAGAATGAGGTCACTACAGTTAATATATGCCAAAACAAACAAGCAGCGTTGAATGTAAGGTAAACATTATGCAAATGAGGTTGACATGGAGGTTAAACATAAGACCAAGGTAAACACTTCAGAAGGGGGCCTGAAACACATGAATATGATGAAAGAAAAGTAGTTTAGCTCTTTACCCTTTTGTAGTGCACTTATAAACTTATGTTTATTTCAAGTAGAAAGTGTACCACTATAGAAAAACATATCTTACCATTGTTATTGTAAACAACATTCTTTTATACCTTTAAAAACGCTAGATATGTTTTGCATATTAGTAACGTATATTCTCCTTGATATTTGGTTAACTGTGACATATTTGTTTTACACTGTTTACTTTGTTAAAAACATCAGGCCAACATTAACGTTCCCCACTAAAAACTATCAAATCGTTTCTTTACGTACAATTTTTATGCAAGATAAATTACAATTACTTTAGAAATGTGATTATGCTATAAAAGTCTGATAGAAATTGGATGGTGTTGGGGCTCGAAATTAAAGGTGGTCCAATGGCCACTGTCCACGAAAAAGACACCTTGGAACATTTTTGGTACAATAGAAAAACATAAGAATGTCAGCCCTTCTTTTGTTTAACAGGCACACCTCCCAGCTTTTGGATCTGGAAAAGTCCACCCCAAATTTCTGTCTACTCTGCAATTATAGTGCGACTAGGAGTGAACATAGAAGCAAAATAAAGTCGACTTCAAGTTGAAGTCATACAATACCTCCCAAAAAACAGGTTGGTACAGTTCATCCTCACTTCGGGACAATATTGAAATTTATTTTTGGGACAGTGCTGGGACAATAGGAAGAAAATTTAATTTCGAGGCCTGTGGTGTGCTTTTTGAGTCAGCATTTTTAAACCTCTCTGGACTGCCTGTGTACTTCTTGTGACATCACTGCACAAACAAGAGTCCCATTCATTTGGCTGCTCACTGTTGTCATGCAGATCCAACCCACAAATTGTGCGCAGGACGTGCAAATATTAACAATTAGGGGTGGAGCGGGCACAGAAAGACAAGAGAAGAAGAAAAAAAATGGTCGAGTGGGAGGCAAATACCATCGATAAATCTAGAAAATAAGTCCAAGTGACAGACTATATTGTGGTCCCATGGAGAGAACAGGGATGATTTTTAAATCCCCAAGAAGATGTTGGATAACATTATTTTTTTCTGCTTTTCTGACTGAAGCCAACTGCCAACTAGATACTGGGGTGGGGACTTGTCAGAGAAGCCTGGCAGTCTAAAATTCAAGATGTCACCATTTTCCACCCCAAACGTCTGCTTGGAGATTAGCACAGGCGAGGAAAAAGCAACAAGTCAGTGTCTGTACTGTGTATAGCTTTTGGCTCGAAGCTCGGTGGAAAGAATGCTTCAAACCGCCAACCACACAATCCTCCCCTCGGGAAAAAACACACACGGGTAAAATGACATCCTCTACTTGAGTGATATATGTTAAAACGGCAGCACAACCTGTAGCGTTTTCGCAGTATGGAAACTACAAAAACGCGGCGTTGTGTGATGATGGTTTCTAACGCTGGAAAAAAAACGCCCGGGCCTCACGTGTTTGTGATTGTCGTTTAACAACGTTAATACCTTCCAAGAACGGCCTTCTTTGTTCACGCCGTTGGTGAGGAATATCAGAAGGCAGTTTTAGTGTTGTTGTAGCCTTAAAGTTTACCAAACGAGAGGAAAAGGCGGAGTTATGAGCGGAAGTTTTTACCTGAGCCGTGATATCGTTGGGAAGATTTCTGACGACGATCCTGCGCCGATTGTTGAATTCCGACTTCGCCCGGCTGAGTACCTCGCCTTTCTCCGCCTCGCTCAGCGCTGTGAGTGTCTCTTCTGGCTTCAAAACTACTTCCCCCGCTGCGGGGGCCCTGGCTGTCTTCAGACGACATGGTTTCAGCGGAATTGCCGTTCAAGTCGCTCTGAGGTGGCGGATCGCTCAGCAGAGGCGGTTTACTGTGGACTGCCGCCGCCATTTTGAAATTCAGAATTCTCCCAGCATACAGCGCGCCTACCCAAACCTTCTCACAACTAAAAATCTGACAAATCACGATTCAAAATTATTCATACGCGCATTAAATGATGACATAATCTAATTATAGTGTTGTCTCGAGCACATGTAGAATTGTTGATGAAAGGTTGTAGAGTTGACTGGTGTTTTAGAATTATTGCTAAAATGTTTGTTGTTTAAAACTTTGTAGTAACAACTGTTGCGCAATTAGTTAGTGCCACTTTTTCGCACGCGTTCAATCCAACTTTCTCGCACTAAGTTCTTTATAAAATTATCAATTTAATTGTTTAGTTCGTAGTTCTGAGCTGAATTTCTTTCCATTATTTTTATTCCTTCGGGGACCAGCAAGGGTTGGTCATGGTGTTACCATGGGTAGGTGGAAAAAGTGGTTCAGTCCGAACTTGTGTGGTGGGGAAAAAGAGTGTTTGCGTGTAGTTGCGCCTCCTTGCAGAAAAGGTAGAATCGCAGGCAGAAGTAAAACAACATTTTGTAATGGTTACATTTTGTTTATTGAAAGTGCACTATATAAAGGGAAAGAAATAACATTCAACTTTTTTAAGCTATTGAATCTGTCTCTTACACAAGTGTTATATATGATTATTTCCGTTGTAAATGTAACCCTGAACACTCTGCCACTTTACCTTAACCTGATTATTGTCATAGATAAGTAATTTTCACGTTGAAAATACAACACAGAGGTGTGTAATTTTTCACGTGGAAACACGGTAATACTGAAAGGTGCAGTGAAAAGAGCGTGCGCTAGATGGCGCTCTTGTAAGGCTGGTGTTGCAATACGTCGACAGACTGTTGAACTTCAACATACTACAACTTATGTACAATGTATAGTTACATGTCCGTCGATTTTCATAAAAATTGAACTTGGTAATAAAAATTAGTATCCTAGTTAGTACGGCCGACGGTCCCCAGCCTCCTTTGCAAGCGTTCCCGGAGCGGTCGGCTTTTTTTAAAAATTATTTTCTGATGAAAAACGCACACACTAGAAGTTCTGGCCACCAGCCCTAGAATACCCCCCCTTTTGTAGGGGGCCTATTCCATACATGCACTGATCTTAATTGACGTACTCTTTGATTTGTCCAAAAAATCGCACTTCGCGTAACCAAGGCTGCCAATAACCATACCGGCTGCCCGTTCGCGTGATGAGCAGCCGCCAGAACCGACCAACGGCAGAGAAGCCGCCGAACTCCTGCGGCGTGGTGCCGGTGACCGGCGCACTGGTCACTCTCAACACGTCTGTCCAGTGTCTGTCCGGTTTGCGAGTGGTCGATCTTTGGAACCTGAATGCTTTTACGTCATGGGTGACGTCTCCGAAGTTAGTGATGCTGATCTTAGAAAGAGTATATGGCACTTGAAAGTCGAAGGTGATGTACCATGGACCACATATTTTAGGCGGGTACGGGTTCCAGTAGGTCCCGTAGTTACTATCCAGAACCTTGTCAGGGCCATGATGACGACGGTAATGTGGGTCCTTTGCAGGAGTTGCATCAATTACCCAATCAGCGAACCCTCTCAGCCACGTAGAACCTTAATAACAAAACAAAAAAAAAACAAAAAAAAAACAATAAAGTGTTATGGCCAGGACGGGGGGCGATATCGACTTAAGACAACCTTTGCTGACGTCACAAGTGGGAAAATCACGTGTCCACAGCATTTGGGTCAGATAGCTGAGGAAGACTGAGTGATTCAGTCGAAAATTTCTGGTGAGTCAAATTTTGAGTTGGAGAACAGTTTACGTTTTTCATAATGTAATTTGCCAACTCAGATGAACTTTCATGCTAATACAGAAAGTGAATGTACTAATCGAACGAAACAGAATATATAATAATTAACCTAAACAAAATAGATGTGCTGGAGGAGAAATAAGCCTAATGGCTTCTTCTAGTCCTCCCCCATTTCAACTAAAAGCATAATAATCATAATAATAACAATATTAAGTTAAGGGAAAATAGACAACATATGAAAAATAGCAGTAAGTAAATACATCAGAATTAAATGGTAATATTACAGACGAAATAAATATTGAACAATAAGATTTGGCGAAAAATGTAATTCTGGTAGATAATGAGAGATAATGTAGATAATGTTTGTCTATATAGCTTGTATGTGGCAAATGCGACATTTTGGTGTAAAGTATACATAGGCCGATAGGGTTTAAGACCATGGACACACTGTGCAATTCAGAGATCCTGCGATTGAGATGAGCATAGAAGATACAAAGGAATGTCAAATATAGGAGCTGTTTGCTGAGTATCATAAGTTCAAGACACGTTGTTTGAGAGGGAATGCCTCTCCAAGGAGTTCAACAGTGCACTCAGTACTACCAACCGTTATTATAAGTCCTCAAGTCAGTGGTAGTCGGTGGAATGTTTGTCACAGTCCGCTGTTGTTCTCTGTAATCTGTGTTTAACATGTACTAAGTAACTAGAAGCTAAGGGCATGCAAAATTTGCTATGCAAGTCGAGAACATACATTGGAGTGAAAGTCATTTCTCTCAAGGCTGCAAAAGGACTGGGAACATACTTTTCATATTTCTTAACTTAAAATTGTAATGCTTTAGCAAATTATGAGGGAGAGAAACACGCACCCGAAAATACTATCAGAAGGTAAAAAAAGACATTTATTTTACCTTTTACATAGGTTGTGAGTCGTGTCTTTACTGAAGTTACCCGACCAACATCTGTTGGCCCAAGGCTTGTTGTAGACAGTTGCTGCTCTCCAGAATCTATGCAGACATTCAGATAATTACCTACACTACAGTTAAACTTAAAGTGACATTATGTAAGATTTTCACTATTTTAAACATCGTTGTTTTACACATTTGCTTTTGCTATAAGCCTACTTGGGTTCATAATGATATTTGGGGAGAAAAAGATCAACGTCGTTGTGCCGCAAGCCGCTGACGATACCCGAACAAAAACCGCTGTTTGTTTACATCCTTTTTAGGAGCCTCTTAAAAATACAGCGGGCCTGGCGCAACTTATTCTCGAGCTGCACTGAGTCGGCGGAAACATTTGGTAGTGATTAATGTACCTACCGTTTGTAGACGTTATTTCGAAACCTGTCATCCGTTTGCTCACAGTTGGAGTCGGGGTGAAAAATCTTTGCTCATCATTTGTCTTGTTTGTGTTGTCATTAAAGCCGTATGTGGACAAGTTCAGGTCCATTAAATGCCACAGTTCCTTTTTGAAAATGAAAAAAAAAACAGGAAAAATAAATGCATTATAGACTTGATAAAAATCTGTTTGTTCAATAATAATGTGAACATGACGTGACCGAATAAAAATCCAGTTCCTTTCTTGTGTTGGAACCAGTTTAAACTCTACAATTATGGATTCTACTAACACAGATGAGCTTTCATTCGAATATAGGACTTACATCCATGTTAATTACTCGATGCGACACTGACATCTCAGCGACAACAATGATAGTGATGACAATACAGGCTCCAATGCCAACTGCACATAAGCCTCTTTTCATCAACTTCCGGATCCCACCTGTAAAATACAACGAAACTTCGTCTACCGTAGATACCTTTGACCCAGTGCTGACGCCACAGTTCAAAGAAGCCACGTGACAAGTCTCACTGGGTCAGTCTACTGAGGAAGACCAGAGTGACTAATGGTCGAAAGCTCTAGGTGAGAGATTTTTTTTGTGCTGGGTCAAAAGTTTTAACTTTAAACAAAACTTCGTATTCTTTAAATCTGAAACACATATGACAATGGTCTCAGATCACTTTTTAAAGTAGTGTTAAAAACCCAAGCTGTACAATGATTACAGAATGTATTAAAGAATGGTATAAAACAACAACAATAATGATGATAATAATAACTAGAAAGGTAACATTTGCAAGGGAAATGCACAATGTTTACCTTTGCATATGGTCTGCTCTGTTAATTCTTACTCAAACACATTCATATATATGGTCAGACAGGAGTCTAAATCCTTCCTGCTATAAAATTACAACATGATGTAGCCCAACGCTAGTTACCATGGTAACAGACACAACATTGGTTCAGGTCATCGAGGTCACAGTTTGGAGAAGAGGACGAAACATGGCAAAAACAATATGTTTTCCTTCGGTAAATATAATAATGGATAATAAGACAATTACATCAGAGAAATGTAAAACACCAATGTCCCCCTTTTCAGATAACTTAATTCTAACTGTGATAACCACAAGGTCACCGGGCGTTACACACACAACGATCGTCTGGTAAACAAATGTACAAACAAAAAATGAAACTCTTGCCTTTAGCTGTCTGGCGCTCAGATCTAGCCGTCAGATTTGCAGAATTGTAAGACACATTTGATGTACTCCGTGGTGGTGTCGGCACGCTCGCTTCCAAATCTTCAGAATTGTAAAGCACGTTTGACGTAACGTTCATTCTTGGTGGTAGTTTTGGTATTTTTCGAATTCCTTCAAAACTTTTAGAATCATCATGCACATTTGACGTAACCTTACTTTTTGGTGGTAGTTTTGGTGCTTTTTCTTTAAACCCTTCAGAATCATCATGTACATTTGATGTAACCTTACTTTTTGGTGGTAGTTTTGGTGCTTTTTCTTTAAACCCTTCAGAATCACCATGTACATTTGATGTAACCTTACTTTTTGGTGGTAGTTTTGGTACTTTTCCTTCAAAACATTCAGAATCACCATGTGCATTTGATGCAACTTTACTTTTTGGTGGTAGTTTTGGTACTTTTTCTTCAAACCCTTCAGAATCATCATTTACATTTGATGTAACCTTACTTTTTGGTGGTAGTTTTGGTACTTTTTCTTCAAACCCTTCAGAATCATCATGTACATAATACAGTACATTTGAATTAGCGTTACGTTTTGGTGGTAGTTTTGGCACTTCTTGAAGTTCTTCTTCAAAATCTTCTGAATCATTTGATGGCTGTGGAAGCGTGGACACTTCCACCTCAACATGTGGAGAATTGTAATACACATCTGTTGCACGCCTTGGTGGTGGCGAGGGCACTTTTTCTTCAAGATCTGGCACACTGTAGGTAGGATTGTCAAACAAGTAAAACGCACCGTATGGTTCACCTACAGCTGAACTGTGGTCAGCAGAGGGATAGGAATCGGTGGATGCGGAGATTTTAACAGAATCAGAGCAGGCTTGTTTTCTAGTCGAGTGGTCGACAACATGTTTATCAGTACGTCCTGTGCTAGGCAGAGCTGCCCTTGGTGTGTGAAAATGTTCGTGAGTTTGCCTCTCTTTCCTCACACCCTGACGCCGATTATTTAAAGTCTCCATCTCAGTTCTTTCTCGTGTTGCTAACCATAGAAGACCAGCACTTCCATATCCCTAAATGGTACAAAAAAGAGACGATGTCGTTTGGTTGGTATGATGCGTTCAGTGAATTGAAATGCAGCAGAGCGCAGATGATATTCAATAATTCACACATACATATTTTCCATTCTTCGCCGCCATTTTGAAAATGGTTTCGTTCTCGCGAGAAGAGCGTCTAGCGGGAACGTAGGCGACTAGTCCAAGAAAACGAGTTTTTTTCGGATTTCTTTGCTAACACATGCACGTGACTCCGTGAGCAGTGGATCATGGGTTGCAGAAAGTCTGTGGCGCCCCCCGTCTCTGTTGTGTGTTATCTGCGTGACGGCACGGAAGCGGTGGATTGCTCATTCCTTGACAAAGACTGGAGTTGTGCAGTCGAAAATTTGGGTGAGTCCAATTTGTTGTGTTGGAAATTGACTTTTAAACTTGCTTCATAAGGGATCTGTGTTTATCTGTACGGAATTCCTGAATATTTAGGAAGTCCACTTTGCCCTACGATGATAGTGATGTGATCAATGGCGCGGCATAAGCAACACTTCTGGTCGTGTCGACACCAAAAAAGGTATAGCGTTGAAACAAAATAAACATTTTCATAACCCTTGGTTCTTGTTGTAACAGTCCATCAAGTTACAATAAAAAATATTCATATTTGATTATTTGACACTCCCCTTTGCATTATAAATGCAAAAGGACGTGGTGTATATGGGGTCAAAGTTCAAGGTCAGGTGGCAAGGTCAAAGCTATCCACTCAACGGTTATCATACATTTTTGGAAAGCTGTTGAAAAGGACTATCACATGAACTAAATCTGGTCTGGCCCATTCACGAGTTTCCTATCCCCAGAATGCATTGCGAAAACAGGGGTCTAAACCTCATTTGCATAGGACAGGAAGGCATCGGAATGATCCTGTTGACGTTAAACAGCTTGTTTTTCACTGTGTTTTGAGGTATTGGGGCATTTTATGCTCAATGTTAATCAAATTACTATGGGCTAAAGCGAATCTGACATCAAATAGAGAATGAACTGACATGTGACATTTTACCCTTGTTTAAAAAAACCTAAACTCTAGAAATTCTAACAACGATTGTGCATTTTCATCCCGTTCTGCAAAGTTCTTTCGTATTAGTATTGTATATTATAGCCTTATGGTATGTTACTTTGTTAACAGTCCATGTAATAAAGCACTAGATGTCATACACTGTACCATATATAGAGGTAGAACCTCCGTGATTGTACCTTTTACAATTGCCGTGCAATAAAGTTAACATAACATCATCTAAAGTGAACCACGCATTCAACTGGCACCTCTTACTTCTTGTATGAAGATGACAGCGACAGACGATCCTTACACCTCAGAACTGAACTGACCACGATGTTCCTGTCTTGGAAGCGAAGTGAAAAAAACAAAACACTGCGAGGGCCTCCAGCCTTTCTGTATAGACAAATTAACTCAATCACATGATGCTTAACAGTTTAGAAATTCATGTGCTGACGTAATAGGTGAAACGTCAGTCGAAAGATTTGTCTGCTGATCTGGCTTTTTTATTTTTTTATTTATTAATCTTGAGGGTCGCCCCTTCAGTTGACTATCAAAGACTGTAACGGCGTCAAAAAACAGTATACGTGCGAAACAACACGGTGGCCCATTTCTCTACGTCGCAAATGATTAGGTCGCGTACACATATATAGTTAACGTTACGTCGTAAATGGTACAAACCAGTGGTCACAGATTTAGGGTGGGACGTCAGATTTAGGGTGGGACACATTAAAGGTCACAGATTTAGGGTGGGACACAGATTTAGGGTGGGACACATTAAAGGTCACAGATTTAGGGTGGGACACAGATTTAGGGTGGGACACATTAAAGGTCACAGATTTAGAGTGGGACACATTAAAGGACAGACGCACAGCAAGTAGACTCACATTACTTAAAAAAGCAAGACACTCAAAAACAGCCCTTCCTGTCAAAACCTTGTTGACGCCTATGCCAATCGCGACACTTCAACTCCAACTCATACAAACCACTAACGTTTCACAAAGACTGTTACAAATATTCATACTTTCCACAAACTGTCAGAGATTTGAACATTTTGCCCCAAGAGATAACTGATACTGCGGAACCTACGAAGTTCAACGCTGCAGTACTACAACACCTGAGGACGCAGGAATAACGCATCGCACAGCTCCCCTGCACGCTTTACCCCAATCTAGGGGTGTTGTGCAGTACCCAAACAAGACAAGACAAGTTGCAGAATGAGCAGAATATACAGTCAAACCTGTATAAGAAGACCACCCTGGGGACCTAAGGAATCTGGTCTTCTTAGACAAGTGGTCTTCTTATCCAAAAAGCAGCCCAGTGACACAAGAAAACAAAGACACCAATTTCAAAGTTCACGTAGATTTCATCATGAAATAACTTTTTTTGCCTAACTTTTTTTAATTCGCACGCTCGCATCAGTTTTGGGGTTCCCAGGGATGTCATCCATATAATCAAATCAACATGGCCTAAATGTGGACTCCATTCCGCGTTGTCCTGACACGGCGCGAAAAACCATATTTAAGCATGCTTAAATCGTGCTTAAAGGCGGCGTAATTTCCATCTTTACGCACCTTTCCGGCAACTTTCCGTGTACGTAAACATTGTCTTTACGAGCCCTTTCCGTAATACTTAAAGATACGTATTTGCACTACTTTAGCGGTGCCTTTACGCACCTTTTATGTCCGTAAAGGCTTTGTAAACTATTCCTTTAAGTATTGTTTACGGACCTTTTTTGGTCGGAAAGCATGCGTTTACTTAAGATTTAAGAGGTCTTTTAGCTGCCTTTAAGTCCCTCGAAAACATTGTCTTTACGTGCCCTTTCCGTAGTACTGGAAAGATACGTATTTGCACTACTTTAGCGGTGCCTTTACGCACCTTTTATGTCCGTAAAGGTTTTGTAACCTATTCCTTTAATCACTGTTTATGGACAATTTTAAGCTTTAAGTTGCCTTTCCGAACATTTGGATCGGCTGTGCATAACCTTAACTTACGTCGGTATATGTGAATATGATGACAGAAACAGATATGATCTGAGAACAATTTATTGAGTAAAACATACAAAATACAATGATTCCTAATAAAATGTTTTAGAAGAAGATGTTAGCTCATACTATATTGTCACATTATTACGTATCCCTCCCCAGCTGCAGATTACGTATAATGAAAACAGTTCAAAATAATACATTCCTAAACTAAGCTCACCAATACAAGGAATTGGCTACTTGTATCTCCAAACATATATTTGATCAGCTCCCTCGTATACGGCGTTTTGTGAAAGATTTCTCCTCCGTCCTCCTGGCTGTTGTCAGACAGACCGAGCCGGGCCGAGAGTCGTGTTGTCGTTGCCGCTGCTTAGAAGCCCCTGGATTCTTTGCGACTGGGCCTCCACCAATTTCAACATATTCTAAAGAAGTCGAAAAATTTTTCTTGCCTTTCCTCGCTCCATGAGATTCTCAACTTCAGCCATAATGTCTCAATTAGAAGGAGGGTCGACGTATCTTCGAAATAGACGCCATAAAAATGAGTTGAGTCCGGTAGATTTGAACCTCGCTGTCTTGTATCCCATTGGGTACCGCCCTATCACATGACACGTTCCTCATTGGGTGTCTGCATATGGATACTTTGTAAGTTCACGCGAAGGACATGTAAGTTTTGTCATGCTTCACAAATAAAGCAAAATAAAAGTGTGAAGCCGGCTGGGCGATAAACTCGTTTATCTATTTGCCATTTGGAACATGGTTAGACGTTAAAAAACAAGCTACGAAACGGAACATTTGCCTTTCAGAGGCCTTTACGAAGTCGTAAAGTCAACTGAAATATTTTCCGACCTTTAATACTTCTTTACATATGCGGAAAGTTTCCTTAAATGTCTTTATATATTTACATCGTATTTAAGCGCGCTGAAAGGTGACGGAAAGGCGGACTTTGTCTTTCAGGGGCCTTTACGAAGTCGTAAAGTCAACTGAAATATTTTCCTACCTTTAATACTTATTTACGTATTGCGGAAAGTTTGCTTAAATGTCTGTATATATTTACGTCGTATTTAAGCCCACTGAAAGGTGACGGAAAGGCGGAATTTACCTTTCAGCAACCTTTACGAAGTCGTAAAGTCAACTTAAATATTTATCCACCTGTAATACCTCTTTACATATTGCGGAAAGTTTGCTTAAATATCTGTTTTCGTGCTGTGTGAGGGTTTTCATCGATAGGGGGCGTTGTTTTGGGGGTGTGAACTTCTATGTGAAACCATTTCCGGAAACAAAGATGGCCGCCGAACAGAACTAGGACGACAAAGAGGTTTGTTTTTGTGTCGTTTTGCTTTGAAAACCCGCTCATATTAACCAGTAACACACAGTTCTGTAATTCGACCATTTGTATGTCATATTATATGGGCTGTGAGCATTCGGAATTCACCATTTGTTGCTTCCCGGCCCCGGGTTTGCCTATAGATCCTCAAGGTCTACGAAAGTTGTGTGTTGAAAAAAATTGGTCGTCCTAATTTTTAAAATTCTAGTTTAATTGTACTGCCGTGGGGGAGTTATTGTGGTTCATAACTTTGTGACACTTCTAGTGATACAGGAAAAGGCTGATTGGAAGACTGTTTAATTTCATATAGGCTATAATTTTTGTGCTTTTTTGACAGGCCTCACATGAGGTCAAAGTTGAAGGAGGGCCTGCATGGCGTTTTTCGTAAGGCGTAATCAGGCCTTTTTAGACTTCGTAATTCGTAAGCAGCCTCCGCAAAAATCAACGTAATCCGTAATAAGACATTAGCCGCAAAGCGTAAAGTCCTAATCAGCTCTGAGACGTTAACATAATTCGTAATAATTCGGTGGCAAAAATTTTGCGTAATTCGTAGTCACTACCCCCCATGCAGGCCCTCTTGAAGGCTTGTTAACAGTTCTTGTTTGGCTTTGTTTCTGTTTATGTCTCATGAACTGGATAAATAAAAGATTGACAAAATGAATGGTGCATGTCAGAATGGAAATGCATGACTAAAGAAAGATTTTAAAATCTTTCCTTACTCCCCCCAGACCAGGCAGAAATGGAAGATTCCACCTGTGAAGGTTCTACCCTAGAACATCCTGGGAACAAGATGGAGTGGCCTGAACACCCTGGGAATGAGAGCAGCAGGGAGACCAAACCAACAGACAAAGGCGAACAACATGAAACGTGTGATGTGAACTTTCCCCAGCAAGACAGCAAATTAACCACACAGGCACAGGGCAGCAGAGGCCATGTGGGAAACCATGTTGCTAAAAACATTGGCGAGAAACCCTACATGTGTGGGGAGTGTGGGTTCAGGTCAGCTCTCAAGCATAACATCACCCAGCATATGAGAACTCATACTGGGGAAAAACCCTACAAGTGTGACCAGTGTGACTATTCTGCTGCAAAGAAATCCACCTTGAATCGACATCGTGTATTGAAACACACTGGAGAGAAACCTTACCAATGTGGGGAGTGTGAATACAGGACTGCTCTCAAGTTCCAACTATTAGAGCACACAAAAACTCATACCGGTGAGAAACCCTACATGTGTGGGGAGTGTGGATACAGGGCAGCGAAGAAATTCCACCTCTTCCAACACATGAGGGCTCACACAGGCGACAAACCCTACATGTGTGGGGAGTGCGGGTACAGGACAATTCACAAGTGCTCCATACTCAAACACATGAGAACCCACACAGGAGAAAAACCCTACAAGTGTGACCAGTGTGACTACTCCGCTGCGACTACATCTACTCTGGACACACACAAGGAAAGGCACCGCGGTGAAAAACCTTACAAGTGTGAGGAGTGCGGACACAGGACAGCCGTGAAGGGGGACTTGTATCGGCACATGAACATCCACACAGGCAAAAAACCTTACAAATGTCACCTGTGTGACTTCTCAGCAACTTGGAAATCTTCCTTAGACTCTCATCTAGTAAAGCACACAGGCAAGAAACCTTACTTGTGTGAACAATGTGGTTTTAGAACAGTACACAAGGGCTACTTGTCCGATCATATGAAAACCCATACAGGAGAGAAACCCTACAAGTGTGACCAGTGCGACTATTCGGCAGCACTGAAAAAATATTTGCTCCAACATCAAGCAAAACACAAGACTGAGAAGCCATATATGTGTGATAAGTGTGGCTACAAGACAGCTTATAAGGGCAACTTATCCCAACATATGGCAAGAGCCCACACTGGTGATGAAACATAACATAACAAAAGTCAGCAGTGTAACCTAACTGCATCATTGTTCTAGCAGCTCTCCACTGGTTAGGAAGCTTAACTGGTTTCCATAGTGACAGAGAATTCTGAGCTCCTATTGGTACTGTAGTTCAGGGAATGGTTCTCTGGGGTTAGAGTTGTATGGCAAGCTCTTGCGGCCCCTGACAGCAAGAGATCGTGTAATGTAGGCTCTGACTAGTGGTATTATTCTACAGGACAGAAATCCACTTTGGAGCAATTCGCCCACTCTCAATATCTGTAAACCCATGTAAGAAAAAGCTGTGAAAGTCTATTCTAGACCTACATTGTAGAAAATTCATACAAAGAAGATTTGAAAATTCATACAAAGGAAAACAGTTCTTGTGTAGACCTTGATTGAAATCATGTACAGATGTAGTTTTTGGCGACGTCTCATGGAGGAGCCTAATGGTACAGTATTGTGTGCAATTCACAAGAATTCTAGGAATTGTACAGGCATTTTGTACATACCTGTACATTTGTACAATTGTACAGGCATTTTGTACATACCTGTACATTTCTGAAGATCTGTCTGCCCCAGATGGCCCTACTTTCTGTGACCCCGGGGCTCGTTCACTATACGCTCAGGGGAGGAGTATGCGGAATGTCTACAGGCATTTCTCTGACCCACATCTATGCCCACATTCCTGGAACGCTGAAGATCTGTCTGCCCCAGATGGCCCTACTTTCTGTGACCCCGGGGCTCGTTCACTATACGCTCAGGGGAGGAGTACACTGTATCTGTCAGGACTTAAAGCCTTCCTCAAAATCATGAAATCATGAAATCAAACAATAACCCTAACAGCAACCACAGTCGCCATGGCAATGTATGTTTTCATTGCCAGTCTTGTTGTGTATATAGGTCTCAGGGGCCATTCGACTTTGCAGATTACCAATAATATATCACACTGAGTATGCAACTAGCTTATTTGACAAAGCTGCTGTATAATCATCTAACCTGACATTGCATAGATGTAGTTTTTGCACTAGTAACCATAAATGTTCAGAATTGGCATACATTTTAATATTTTAGTATTGTATTTACTATTTATGTACATGTCATTTGAATTGTATTAGTCCTATGTATCCTAATGTTTGGCTTATACTAGAGTATATTACAATATTAAGCATATTATAAACAATTTTACCAGGAATTGTCCTAGCACAGTGACATTTTAAAGAGAAACAAGAAAGCAAGCAAAATGAATATTGAAACAAGAAATACACCAGAAAATGGTTCGATTTGTTGTCCATATGTTTTAGTCTGTGGCTGGTCTAAGGTGCTTGAATAGCGGCAGGGTCATATTCATAGTGACTTCTTTAGATATCCACATATTTCTCCATAGCAGTACCAGCTAACTCATACATATCAAAATGGAATCTAGGTGGTCATGAAGGTTGACGAAATGACTATACACACTGAGTATGGTATGGGGAATAATGATAGACTCCTCATTTTCATTTCGTCACATTTTCTTCTTTTCCTGAATATTGATTTCGGCATTCTATGACATTAGTATCGTTTTCCAATACTTTTTTTTTTGCAACATACGACTGTTTATTACGACATATATTGGCTCATTTTGTACGATTTACGGTATGGTCGAAAACGTTTTTTTTTTTTTGTAAACGGACGAAAATTGATGCGCGCTTGGATGTCATCCATATAATCAAATTAACATGGCCTAATCAATTATCTGGCCAAGATGAGCTTTGAACTTGCCGAACCCAGTTTCTGACAGGTTAAACTGTAACCATCATAGTTATATCACCCTTCAAGATGTACATCTCTTGTTACGTTATTGTTTATTTAAATTTATAAATGTAACGTAAACCTATCGAAGCCCCCCCCCCCCCCAATGTTCCTTAGAACAACCCGGGAAAGACTGCAAACGTTATAATTTTCGAATGGTCACAACATCACACAAGACAAAAGTAAATAAGCTATTCTGAACAAAGTATATTCCAAAACGCATTAGATAACGCGGTTTACATTTAGTTTTGCGACCAGACTGCAGAAATTGTTTCTTCCGTTGTATTCTCAAGGTACGTAAGATAAGGAAAGGAAGTTAGGTTGGTTACCAGACTTATTTTAGCTTCCGACTCTGTATCCTCTCCGTAACCCGGGACCTAAAATAGGTCTGTTAGCCAGGCTACTTTGTATAAGGTTTTAACGTAGTTTCAAGGTAGAACATTTTAGGATTTTTAACATCGGCCGTTTGCCGCCAGCTGATTTGCCGTCACCTCTACCATACAAAATGACAAAACTACCAATCAAAAGACTTCGAATCCCAGTTTGTAGCGACTAGACCTCTAATCTATTGTCATAGTTCCATGTTGTTATTCTTAAGAGTTGAGGTTTTGCGTCGTCTTTGCGGCAAAACGTCCCGACGTCAAAAAATCATGGCTACCAGTTACAAAAAGTAAAGATGAATTGTAACGATAGATGTGGTCCCCTAGCAGCGTTTTTTGGAACTGCTGGGGCCGACTTTGTTTGATATTTGACAAGTGATATTTGATCATGAAACATTTTTAACAGGAAGGAACACGGAACTGATTTCGACTGGCGGAAAGTCCACCCAAGTCATACGAATCTGATCGAGAGCTGAACTTCCGCGGTTATGATGAAGGCACAGTCATGCGTTCTTCTCGTGGTTTTACTTCCAGTCTTTGCCGTTGGAGAGAACAACTCGTCAACAAAAGCAGCACTTCCAGACTCCCAGCAAATTTTCAGCAACATCTTCAAGGAGATACTAGCAAGGAGGAAGAAGAGCCCACATTCCTTGTTACTTGAGGAGAATGACTCGGTGAAAACGGAGATCATGAGAATAGGCCAACTGGGTGGGAAACAACATGGCGCCGACGTAAGGTCACGTGATTTTCAAATCAACCAATCAACGCAAGGGAGGCCCTTGCCGGCAAGTATGGCGGATGGAGTCGTCATAGTTGTTTCAACGATGGTGTCTACCGTGGTAGTCTTGACTCTTATAAGCATGATAGTTTATATATTAATGTATTTCACAACTGGACGATATTGCCGACTGAAAATCAGACGCATCTGCGGTGTTTGATGTCATTTTAAGCCTATAGTTCGTCGGCGACAAACTCCCGGATACTTGAATGAATTATACTTGCCGATGTTCAAATATAAAACTCTGTTTGAATGATGCATACATGTAGTAGCAACGTACACATACGGACAATGTTTTTGACACTAATTTATGGTGTTGTCTATTTCTTCTGTTTTGTATGATCCAACATCCTTAACTTCAATAAACTATTTCACAACAGCAACTGCTTTAAATATTGTGCTGGTTGAACAGAATTTATTTCAATGGACTTGAATATCACATTTTTAAGTACATTAATTGGACATAATGACTTGTGACAACCCCTGCATGTTATACATAGAAAACATTAATTAAAGAATATACAATGTCCTCCTCCTTGAAACTTACTAAATATTAATCATGAAGCTAACAAAAGGCATGGAAGTAATGTATGCTAGAACACATAACACTGAAACTTTACACAACGGGAATGAAAAAAATAAAGAGCAAATTAAGAACTGTTACAGCAAATTCAGTTCCTATCTTGAAAGTTCATCTGTGTTGGTAGAAATCATTATGAAGCAAGTTTAAACTGTAATTTCCAACACAAGTGCACGAGGGATTAAAGAGGCCATCTATATCAGGACATTGCAATCATCCCTCAACGGAGACGAGGGGCGCCACAGACTTTCTGCAACCTATGATCGACTGCTCACGGAGTCACGTGTGTTATCTGCGTGACGTCACGGAAGCGGTGGATTGCTCATTCCTTGACAAAGACTGGAGTTGTACAGTCTAAAATTTGTGTGAGTCAAATTTGTTGTGTTACAGTTTAAACTTGCTTCATAAAAAATTCAGTTCCCCTCGTATTTGACCTGGTCGTCTGTATAGACCACAGACCCCTCCGCTGTGTACTGTCTCCCCGTCCTGACGTCATCACGGACAAGTGGCTCGTACACGCCACGTCCGTCCCGGCCCTGCCGACGCCGACACGACAGCACCCGAACCGACACGGAAGCTACCGACACCACCACGACGATGAGGAAGACCACGCCGACTGCAATGCCGAAGATCTCGATCCCAGACAAAGGCTGGTTGGACGGGATCCCTTGAAGAAAATGAAAAAGAAAATTGATATCATTTACACATTTCTCCTATTTAAACAAAAAGGGCGAGAGGGGAGTTGAAAAGCTACAATACAACTTACACAAGAAATTGTTACACAAGCAACTGGATATGTTCCAAAAGTGGAAAACCTATCCAATTGTTTAGTAACGGCTAACACTTCCTTGAGTTCCTAGATGCCTAGCCTTCATCGACACAAATTGAATAAAGTATTCCTACTTATATTTATTACTTACTAAACTAAAGTACAGGGCTCGAAATTGAAGGTGGTCCGATGGCCACTGACCACTAAAAGTTAGGCTGGAACAACTAAAAGGACACTTTGGAACATTTTTTTGGGACAATAGAAAAATAATCAACATAAGAATGTCAGCCCTTCTTTTGTTTATCAGACACATGTCCCGGCTTTTGGATCTGGAAAAGTCCCCCCAAAATTTCCTGTCTACACTGTAATTATAGTGCACAAGTGGGAGTGAGCATAAACAAAATAAAGTTGATGTCAAGTTGAAATCATAAAATACTTCCCAAAAAACAGGTTGGGACAGTTCATCCTCACTTCGGGACAATTAAAATTTATTTTTGGGACAGTGCTGGGAACATGGGAAGAAAAGTTAATATCGATGTCTTTAAAAAAGATACGAATGAGTACTTACTCTGTGGTAAGACGTCGTAGGCATATCCCAAATCTTCCGACAGTTGGAACACATCAGCGTTGCGAATCACAGGCAAGAACGGCACCATGGTGTTGTTCAGGTTGTGGCCGATAGGGGCGCCCTCCTCTGGATAGCCAATCAGCGACGAGCTGTTCTGCAGACGCAACCATGCATCAAAGATGGCGTCGCTACAGAAAAGACACGCAAGGAATTTGATAGCCTTTAATTGGTCAATTACCCTGGGAGGGGGGAAGGGGTAATTGCCTTTAATTGGGTAATCGGTTGGTGATATGTCGGTCAACCAGGTTGACCTTTCAGTCACCTGCCATGGCTGTATCACTGCATTTCAGCAAGTACACTTTTACCAATCATCCAAAAGTACCGCATTCTCATCAGTTGTTAACTCCAATACACTTACCCAAAACTTCATCACCACATCAGAACGTTTTTAAAAGATTTAAATTTCCCCCTTTGTTATTTATGTACTGTGTCCTCTTTGCCATCATTTATCATTGGGTGGGGAACCGGACCTGCGCTCTTGAATTTCTTGTATTTACTGTTTTTTGCCTGTCTTAAAGTTGCGATTGTTTCTTTTCTTTATTATATGTATTTATTTAGTGGTGCCGTCAACATAAGTGCTTTCCACTTGAGTGAGGCATCACCATGTCCTGTATCCTTTTTTCATGTGAATGAATAAAAAAAAATCATCCAAAATGACAACAAGAGTCTACACGCTGACAGGCCACAAGACATGACTAAAGAAGCAAACAGAATGTCTCCTCGTTCGAGCGTATGTCGTCCGACAACTATTTGTGAGAAGATGCAAACTATGATATCACTAACTTAGTGTAGAAATTCGAATGTAAACTCGTTACTTGGTTGGACAGTCCGTTTTATAAATATTTGTGAGAAGATGCAAACTATGATATCACTAACTTAGTGTAGAAATTCGAATGTAAACTCGTTACTTGGTTGGACAGTCCGTTTTATAAAATTGTATTCTCTTGGTGGGGGATAGTGTGAAAGTAGGGGTGCATTTTAGACACGATGGGGAATAATTGGTTTCTGATATCATCATAAAATATTTACAAATCCTCTCAGACAAAGGTAGTTTCGAATTCATATATTGCCCTTTTTCGATTCCCAAGTGGTGGGCACTGATTCTAATCTTTTTATGTTTACCTAAGGAAAACATATTGTTTTTTGCTCTGTTTCGTCTTCTTCTTCCGTTCCAAACACTGGCCTCTGACCAGACTGTCTCTCACCATGGTAACTGGTGTTGGGTTACATCATGTTGCAATTTTATAGTAGGAAGGATTTAGACTCCTGTCTCCATATATGTGAATGTCTTTGAGTAAGAATTAACAGAGACCAGACCATATGCTAAGATAAACATTATGCATTTGCTTTGCAAATGTTACCTTTCTAGTTGGACTTTATTTCTACTATAAACGTCACACACCTGTAAGAGTGAAGGAGAACAAAGATGGGGTCGTTAGCTGACGCATGCGTGATGGCGCCCGTGCCGTTGAGGAACAGATGCGCCAGGTTGTGCAGGGAGCGGATGTCGGGATGGTACGTTCCCTCAGGGTCACTATACCCCTCCAGACTGTTCCTGAAACTCCCCCCGGCCACTTTGGTCCAGTCGAAACGATCGTATTCGGGTATGTCCAGACAACGCCCTGGAAAAGATGACAAAGTTTTGCTGTGAGAAATTGAATGTGTATGAGAAAGGTGAACTGACTAACTAACGAATAGAACAAGAGGAATTTTAAATACATTGCCGAGAGTTTAACGAATACAATTTGTATAACGTTAATATTGTATGATATGTGAATGCTTATTTATAACATGTTGTACATTATATAATAGGAATACATTCAATAGCAGGAGACGATCTTGAATGGGCCAGCCGAGTCACCATTTGCCCATGAACCGTGGCGTGTTGGATAACTGCCTGGCCAATTTGATACTGCCTTGCATTGCAGCATCCAAAAGATATGCACGGAGACTATAGGAAAAGTATTCAAGCAACTTTCTCAGGAGATGAGATTAAACAAGGGAGGTGCTCAAAAAAGCATCTTGGCGACTTTTGTTTCTTGCTCTGCCGAAAGGTAAATCTCTCCTTACCGACGTCTTCTCGCCGAGGCAGGACCCTGACAGCTGGCCGGTCCACGTTCCCGCCGGGGTTGCGGAAGATCGGCCCCTCGTCCGTCCCGTTACACAGCGTCACCAGCCGGTTGTAGTCGTCCAGACTCATACAGACGGACTGCCAGCGGGAGAAGGGCGAGCCGGGGCTCAGGGCAGTCGGGTTCAGGGGGTGGCGGGCTCCCATCATGTCGTCTGTACACACGTCACACTCCGTACCTAGGGAACCAGCCGGAACCAAAGTTAGATGGAGGTGTAGAAACCGCCGTTAGTAGCCTGGATACCAGTCTATGGAATGGGGCAATATACAGGCTAGCTCCAGGGCTCCAGGGCTAGCCTGGGTGCCAGACTGTAGCCTGGGTCAGTATACAGGCTAGCTCCTCTGCTCCAGGGCTACCCTGGGTACCAGACTGTAGCCTGGGTCAGTATACAGACTATCTCGTCGGTTCCAGGGCTAGCCCACGTACCAGACTGTAGCCTGGGACAGTATACAGGCTATCTCGTCGGCTCCAGGGCTAGCCTGGGTACCAGACTGTTGCCAGGACCATTATATAGGCTAGCTCGGTTCCAGACTTGAACATGAGAACAAATGTACACACGCACCTCCTACCGACCAGTCCCAGTAGTGCAGCGCGAAGCTCTCATCTCCCAACATCTTCTGCATCTCCCGTTCCAGCCACAACAGGTGCATCCGGTGCCAGGTGTTGTAGGCGGGACCTTCAGGCAGGAACACAAACAGGTAAGGAATGTTGGAAGGAACGGAATGGAAAATTCGTACGAAGCCGCACAAACAAGTTGCCATCAACCTTTTCCTCACTGTCTCATGATAGTGCTAATTTCATAACTCGCCCTCCCCTTTTACTCTTTCCCATCTTTCTACTATTCCATCTTTCCCTAGTCCCTCTTCCACCCCTACTCATGATACCGCTACACCCATGTGTTACATGTCTTTTGCGATGAGCACGTCGAGAATATTGAAATTAATTTGATTTGATTTATTGAGATGCCCTTTAGCCCCATGAGGGGCTAATCTTCCAGGGCTCGTTAACAGTACAACACATAAAATACAACAGTACAACACATAAAATACCAGCACTGAATACATACAATCATTGCAATTACACATTAAAATAATTGAGGTTGAGGCCAGAGGTCATTTAACTAATTATGACTAAAATCAACAATAAAACTTGTGAGTTACTAAATTGCTTCGAATATATACAATATTGTCAGGGTAAGCCTTTAAGTTCCATAAAGCTGACGTGTCATTTTCCTGAACTGCCTCTCATCAGCTGCTAGTACAGTAGTCTTAACTTCACTCGGTAATGCGTTCCACAACTTTACAGATCTGTAAACAAACATCCTCTTTCCACTATTGTTGTTAGGTTTGAGCAATGAGTAGTCGTGCACTGATTGCCTAGTGGAATACCTGTGAGACGCATGAACCGGTACCAGAGATTTATAGATCTCCTGTGGCTCACTTGTGGTTACAATCTTGAAAAATAGCTTAAGAGTACTGACATCAAATCTATTTCTCACCGATAACCAACCAAGATCAGAGTGCATTTTGACAACTGGTGTATCGAACGAACATTTCAGAGCCAGCCTGCAGACTTTGTTCTGTATAACTTGTATCTTCTTAGTACATGACTCTGAAACACTAGCTAGTATAGGTGAACAGTAGTTCAAGATTGATAGCACTAAAGCTTGGATTACAACCTTACACACAGCATCTGGCATGTAACACACATATCTTCTAACATAGGCTAGATTTCTTGATAGTTTTGCCACGAGGTGTTTAACATGGAGATTCCAAGAAAGCGATGGATCCATATAGAAATTAATTGTAAACAATGATCTCTAGAGCTATCTACCACCCAAGAACCGTGACCATAGCCTGTACAGAACATGAGATAGAAAAAAAGTTCTACTGCAGTGATTTGGGAAGCCGCTAGGGGACGCAAAAGTATTCATGTCCTGAATAGCCCAAGACCTGGAGAAGATTCATAGCTTCCGGAGTTACCGATGCCGAATTACAAATACAAACACTACCCAAATCATAACAAGCCTCTACCAGGCTTCTGGGGGCAGATTGAAAGAGTAGAAATTGGTCATTTAGAGAGATAATATACCAGGGGTGTTGCTCCATGAGTATTTTGCCACACCCTGGTATATTATCTCTTTCTTTGGCCAATTTCTATTCTTTTAGCCGCCTCCCGAAGCCTGATAGAGGCTAAACAATCTCGCCGGAAGTGAAAACGTGCTACCCACCTTCATGTGCGAAGTCTATAGCCTTGAAAGGCTGCCCCGGGCCCAGTAGTGTGTCCCTGACGGCGTAGTAATGCATCCACACAAACAGGTTATAGATCGTTACGTTTGCCTGAAAACAAAAATAAACAACACTTTCTTACATATGTAGAGGACCCAGACAATTATTGTTCAACTACTCTTCTCTTAACATCCGAAAACCCACACATTACAGAAAAAGCTTAAGTGGGATCTTTTGTCTTTCCTGTCTCCAAAAAAGAAGTCAAACCCAGTAGTAGTTGTTAAGAGTAGCTTTTATTTATTGTGTCTGGTTAAGTATTACTTGTTATTATTGTTGTTGTATTTGCAATTAGCCTTCGGGCACGAGCTTGCAATAAAACAAATTACTAAATTGTTGTTGATGGCCAAGGATCCCAATCGACCAAGGTTATATCCGAGGTACCACAAGGCACTATCGTGGGCCCTTCTTTCTTGGGCCCTTCTTTTTCTTCTTTATAACTGAAAGTTAATTGTCACAACAAAAGTACAGCGACTTGACAATGACAATAAACTTTATTGCATATTCAAGCCTTATGTAGGCCAAATGCACTAGGATAGATAACTGGTTTATAAGGGAAGAATTACCTCGTTATTACAATGCATATTACCTCTATATCTACAAGATCTCCCCCCTCTTTTTGAAATGATCTTCCTGGTGTTGTTATCTCCAATGTACGCTTGTTTGTCGATGGTTGTCTGCTCTATCGAACCATTGATGGGTGCTCAAGGACGGTCTGCCATCAGACCTTGATGCAGGGGCACTAGTCCACTCAACTCGAAGTATAGCACAGCTATATCCCACCCCCCACCCACACCACTTGTGGGGCACAGGTGTCAAAGGAGTAGCCTCCACCAGGCCTCTCTACGGGAATACGGATCGTAACATTTGGCAAAGAGGAGAGTAAAATTTGCCAGTGTCAGAGTCAGTCAAACCCTAAGGCGGCCAAACTCACCTGAGCTGGCAAATATTCTCCTGTATAGCCTGCTTGGTTAGTCTGGTAGAGACTACCAGAGGAGGTTCAATTACACAAGCCGCGTGACTGTCAATAACTTGACAGACAAATTCTTAAAAGCCTACGCTCCGCTCTTGTCAGCCAGGAGGCGACATGCCTGACTAGCTACATTGTACAAAACTGCTCATTGTTACATTAGGCATTCCTAGGGACAAATACCTTAAGACAGAGCAGCAAAGAACAAGAGGTAGTATACGATAGCCACAACTTCAGCTAAGTACAGTGCATAAAGACTTGTGGGGTCGTGTAGCGCAGAGGCAGCATGCTCGACTCGGAACCAAGAGGTCTTGGGTTCGAGTCCTGACATGTCACCGATCTTGAATCATAAAGAGGTTTCCCTTTTTCCTCGCAAAAGAGGAATAAGCTGTCACACAAACACACACTCAGGTATTTAATTACATGTACTAGTAGAAGAACATGATACTAGTAGAACGTGTTTTCCGGGTTGCAAGTTTATCTGACTAGACTACCGTACTTCCACCTGAGACTATCAAATTCTGTTGGGCTGTCACTTGTTACACAAGTGTTGTTACACAAGTGACATGATTATATTGAATGAATCTGTAGCCCCGGGGGTTTGACCTAATATGACCTTTCTATGTGTATGTAATCAAAAGAATAAACGAAAAATAATGTGGAACAAATACATCATGATTAGCAAGTTACAATCTTTGAGAATTAGAAAAAAACGTTTAGTCTATAAGCTACCATATACCTCTTTATTGAAACACACAGGTGAAATTTATAAATTAAGTGAGTTTTCACAGTACCTTAAGGTAATAATACCGGACAGAAAACATTTCTCACTACTTGCGATTATTAAATTTTAGGCTCCTTTGTTTTAATGAAAAGCTGAATGTAAGAAACACAGCAAGAAATGTAGCGTCAGTCCTTAAGTACTTTTTTGTATATTTTTAAAACATATGAAGATAAGAGTGTTCTGTTACTCACCACTTGCGGCTCCGTGCCGTTTGGTCCCAGCAAACCGAGCCAGTGTTCCTTACAGATGATGTAGTCAGGATGGACGCTTCTCTTGGCCTGGTCCAAGGCGTCCACGAACCGCCGTCTTTCCTCCGCCGTACAGTTCTGAATGTTCTTCCGTAAGACTGGCGGGGCCGGCTGGGCACAGCTCTCTCCCGTCCAGCCGTACCGACACTCGCCGCAGTTGTAGCCCCAGAAGTTGCCCTGACACGCGCAGGTCCGGTTGAAGAACTTGTTGGGCCATCGTTCTCGGTCGTCCACGTTGGTGAAGGGATATTCCGGGTTGTGGGGGATGTCGGGGACGGCCAGGTCCTGACAGGAGCCCCGGCTGGCGTTCTCTCCGCACACGCCGAGGTTCCGTCCGTCCGGAGAGATCAACTCAGGACAACACTCTTTAGACACGATCCCGTCTACAGTCATACAGGAGCGCGGGAACTGGCCCGATACGGGGACAGCCACAAGACAAGCCGCCAGCACCACCGCTGATACATACACCGTAAACATCTCAGGATTCTCAGGGATGCCTTCTCTCCGGAAACTCCGATCTTCCTTCTTGTGTCTCTGAACTAGTTCTGTCCACGGTCGACTACGTGTTGTCTGTCTGATATCCAAGACAAAGGAGGTTTACAGAAAAGCACAAAGCAAATCATGACACGTTGTCGGGACCACGTGATATGCTGTGATAGATATGTTTTGTAATCAAGACCACGACTTCACGCAATAAGTCACTAAATGCTTTTTTTTCTGCTCTAAACGTCTTAAAATGTCCCAGCTTTATCACGAAGAAAACTAATGTTTACTTGTGCTGAACACGTTAAGATGAAAGAATTGAGGAACTAGGAAGCATGAAGAGAAAATTACCATGCTGTTTGTGTAATCAATGTTCTTGGTTAATTTACGCAACGCGAGTTTGTTCAATAATTACCGGGTACTGAATACCCTTGTTACCGCATGACTGTCATGTGATGACGCCCTGGGCTGGAAAATGCTCCCTGCCGTGACTTCGACGACAAACAAACTGATAGACCGACCTGACCCTGCATTGTCGTCTGTTCATAGCCTCTAGCAGGCTTCGGGAGGCGGCTGGAAAGAGTAGAAATCGGCCAAAATAGAGAGATGACCATGCCAGGGGAGTAGGTCCGGTAGAGAGAACTGTTTGCCGCACCCGAAGCCTGTGCGGGGTCGCCATATCTTTTAAGTCCAAACAGGATCGGTAAACTGTTCTCTCTACCGGACCAACTTCCCTGGCATGCTATCTCTCTATTTGGCCGATTTCTAGTCTTTCCAGCCGCCTCCCAAAGCCTGGCAGAGGCTAGTCTCTTCAGGCTATAAGATGTTTGAACAAAAAAACTCAAAGATGTGTCAGCCATCTGTGGACAAAATGTCTGAGGATTTTACATAATAGTCGCATACAGCAAGGAGGTTTATCTTTAAGATTGGCAGCAGTGTCACAAAAGTGCTCGAAAAGTATGCGGTAAAATCTGTTCACTCATAAAATTATTTCACTAATTTCCGGATTTTGTAATGCCAGAGGCATATCTTCTATATATATCTTTATCTGTATCTGAATCTACCCCGAGAAAACCATCGGATTGTTTGCATACTTCCTATTGTCTTTGTTATCAATCAACACGAAGAATAAGATATTTTGCATTGTTGGAGATTTAAAAAAATAACCTTTCATACGAGGTTCATTACTTTTTAAACTCGCATACCGACTAGCCTCCATAGCATTCCAAAAACTGTTTTTTTTTCGGGGTCTTCATGGTCTTTGGGAGCTTTTATGTGCTATTTTCTGATTTCATATAGACAACATAGCCGGCCTGGTTGAATTACCCTTTTTATTTAGAACTGGGCTAATCAGAAAACAGCCGAAGACCACCAAACTCCCAGTTCTATAAGCCTGCTACGGAGGCTATAGACCGGCACAGGTGAACTATATATATATCGTGAGAAAGCTGACACTGACTTGTTGTGCCTTTTCAGCGAAGGTGTTTGCATAAATACCAAGGGTTGATACGGATTGACATTTTGGCACCATGTGTTTAGTCACAAGATAGTCACGAGGGTGCCTTGTCTTGGATGGCTGCACATTCTAGTAGTCTCTACCAGACTACTAGTAACTACGCTGGCTGTATATAGGAGGATAATTGCCAGGGGAGTTTGGCCGCCTTGTAGGTTTGACTGGCCGCGGAAAGAAACTACCTCCCCGCGGCCGGACTCCCTTGGCCCATTTTGCTCTCTTTTTTTGGCCGAATTCTACGATCCGTATTCCCATAGAAAGGCCTGGTGGAGGCTAACATTCTAACCTCCCGTAGAGACTTTCTAGCCGGCAGCGTCTGATTCAAAGAGCGCGGCGGGTTCAAACAAAAACTGACTTGTCATGTTAAATCAGTGCAAATTACTGAATTATATATTCATTTTCACTGTTTTTATTCAACGTGACGTTACCTGGATTCCCACCAAGGTCCAGTTAGAACACGTGCTTATGCTTAGGTCACATTTCCAAACCGGGGCCCGGCCGGGCGGTTTGTATGAACGAAAAATTAAGAATCCATATCAAGAGTATATAGATATAGTGCCCATGATTATTATAAAAAACGTTTCTGTATTTTGTTGTCTTTTATATCGTAAAAAGACAATCGTGTATATTCCCAAAAGCACCTTGAGAAATCCAGCTCTGTGATTGGTCCGCTAGTGTGCTTCTTGGGGGTGTGTCTAATCAGGTGTGTCCCGTGTTCTAAAGTAAAGAATCCTGGCCTGAGGACCATCCCGTCTTACAAAACACCTGTTCTGCGCAGGTGGTCGCAGTGTACCTCAAGACATTATTTAAGACCAGACACTTGGATCTATTGTCGTGTACATCATAGACTTAAAATGGCAGTATGTACTTTAGCTGTGTTCACTGCCGTTTTTGTGTGTTCTGTGTCTGGCCAGTTCCCGCGCGCCTGTATGACTGTAGACGGGATCGTGTCTAAAGAGTGTTGTCCTGAGTTGATCTCTCCGGACGGACAGAACCTCGGCGTGTGCGGAGAGAACGCCAGCCGGGGCTCCTGTCAGGACCTGACCGTCCCCGACATCCCCCACAACCCGGAATATCCCTTCACCAACGTGGACGACCGAGAACGATGGCCCAACAAGTTCTTCAACCGGACCTGCGCGTGTCAGGGCAACTTCTGGGGCTACAACTGCGGCGAGTGTCGGTACGGCTGGACGGGAGAGAGCTGTGCCCAGCCGGCCCCGCCAGTCTTACGGAAGAACATTCAGAACTGTACGGCGGAGGAAAGACGGCGGTTCGTGGACGCCTTGGACCAGGCCAAGAGAAGCGTCCATCCTGACTACATCATCTGTAAGGAACACTGGCTCGGTTTGCTGGGACCAAACGGCACGGAGCCGCAAGTGGTGAGTAACAGCACACTCTTATCTTCATGTGTTTTAAAAAATATACCAAAAAGTACTTAAGGACTGACACTACATGTGTTGCTGTGTTTCTTACATTCAGCTTTTCATCTTTTAGTTCTTAAAGATGGTAACTTGCTAATTATGATGTATGTGTTGCACATTATTTTTAGTTTATTCTTTTGATTAGAAACACATATTAATGCAATATAATATACAAGAACTGTCTTTTTTTCGTTAATTCCGCTTTCATATAGAGCAAAAGAATAAGTTTCACGTACTGAAAAAAAAACAGTGTCAAGAAACTATCCATTCTAGTATCTAGGCTGCGAACAGTACGAAACGAATTTCGGTTACCCAAAATGTAGTGGCCCTGACTAAGTACACTTTTTAGTGACAACTTACTATTAACGACACTCTACGTTAATGTTTCTATATCGTAATATGAATTAGATTAGAAAAGTTGCGGCGAAAGCAGAAATATTGCAAACTGGCGAACCCATAAAACACCAGGGGGTTGTATGATGACTGTCTTGTGATCTCACTTAAAGATAATTACTGTCACGAGTTTGACCAACATTCAGAGAACAAAAGACGGGTTCTTTGTAGCCTCCCCTGCAGGCCTCCGGGCGGGTGGGAAATTTGATACTGTGTTTTGTAGAATTTGTAACGCGTTTTTTTGCCGGCCATCCTACATCTAGCCTCCTTCGCAAACTTGTTGGAGCGGGAAACCTTCTCGTCACGGCAAAAACTCCCTCGGCGGCAAAATTGTCCCTCCGCGGCATAACTCGCGTCGCTCACAGAAAAAAATAACGCCGACGCCTAACAAGTTTGCGAAGGAGGCTACTACAACCAGCCGCCCAGAGTGGCGTGTACTAACCTTCTCTGGGTGGCTGGTTGTAGGGTGACCGGCAAAAGAACGCGTTAAAAATTCTACAAAACGGAGTATTAAAACTCCCACCAGCCCCGAGGCCTGCACAGGAGGCTGGGTTCTTGGCTAGAGTCGTATCGCGTGCACACTATGACGCAAAATTCTGAGGCATTTTTTTAGGTCGCGGATTGTGCTGCCATATTTTATGCTGGAATTCTTGGGTGAATTCGATCTAGTACTTGTTTAAATTCCCGAACGTGGGGTCGTGTGGCGTAGCGGCAGCGTGCTCTACTCGGAACCAAGAGGCCCCGGGTTCGAGTCCTGACATTCCACCGATCTAATGCCCTTGGGAAAGGCACTTAACACGACTTTCCTCACTTAAGTCAAGTGAAAATGCGTATTGTCTTCTCCTGTATTCGTCCTCTGCGTTGGTTGCGGCATGAAATAAATTGATATAACTTGAGCGTGCTGTCACCATGTCTAGTCATGAAATGTTGAAATACAAAAAAAAAAAAAAGAAATCCCGATACAATTTTCATTCTTTGCTTGTTGACACACATCCTACCTGCTCGTCCGTGACTTGGCATATATATCGGACATGTAACAGATAGCATTGAGTTATCTATATAATACATCAAGTATCATATTACAAATTGTATGTTGTTTCACTGGCATATCATTATTGTCCTGACCTCTAAAATCCCCCTACTCGAATTCTGTTGATCTGATGCAAGTTTTCTGTGTTTTGATCATTTTGTAATAGAATGTAAATTATACAACAGAGATCAGATCTTTATAATCTGATACAATCTATGTTCCCCTTCTTCATACATCTAAGCTGTACAGATAAATTTATATTTTTAATGAGCTTAGACAAACCTTCCATATTGAACCTAGGCCTGTTCTTACCTTTTTACCATTACTAAGAAGCGAGAAGAAATCGAATTTACTTAATTGTAGCTAGTTAACGATGTATGTATGTAACGTTATCTGTATTCCATCCTTTTGTTATGACCTGTACTTAACCCAGTGGGTATGTGTGTACAATAAAAGTCTCCATTCATTATTCAAATGCATATTTGGTTGCCGTATGGTTGATCTATCTATCGTTTTACTTTTCCCTTCGAAGTTAAAGTTAACTTTGAATAATATTTTTGTTTGTTTGTTTTATTTGTTATCGCATAGTTGCTTGTATATTTCCGATGTTACAATTTGTATCATTAATGATTTGATTTGATTTATTGAAATTGCAACGGTGCAATACACGCGTAACAGAGGCAGCTGTTGCTGGTGTTGTGTCCCGCACATAGAAACGAATACTGGACAGACAATACTCATTTTCACTTGAGTCTAGTGGGGAAAGTCGTGTAAAGTGCCTTTCCCAAGGGCACAAGGTCGGTGGCATGTCAGGACTCGAACCCGGGACCTCTTGATTCCGAGTCGCGCACGCTGCCGTTGCGCCACACGACCCCACTTTGCGCCACACGACCCCACTTAATATATATTTATAAGAAAGGAGACCTGTAGAAGGAAAACAAACGTTTGTATAATTATGCATATAACGTTGTCATTAGCTTTTTCGTATCTATAAACTACTACATTCTATGTTTTCAGACAAACGTGACGATCTATGACCTGTTTGTGTGGATGCATTACTACGCTGTTAGAGACACACTACTGGGTCCAAACCAACCGTGGAGGGAGATAGACTTTGCACATGAAGGTACGAATGCACCAAGACTGTTTTAATTTGGTCTTAATTTTTACATTCTTAAGGCTGGAAGACGAGATAAGCGCATTGGTTACGACACTGTAACACATTTAAGACCTTCTCCCGATCTTGTTCCCAAACACCAGCAGCCAACCAAGGGCGAAGTTCGGGAGCAGTCTGACTAGATTCAGGCCACGCCTTCCTTTCACGACCAAAAAGTGGACTTATAGGCTTTAAAATAATCCACCAGAAAGTGCCCTGCAGTTCCAGAACAAGCTGCTAGGGGGACCAAACCCAGACCACTTATTTCTGACAGGAAAAGCTATCTGTCACCAAAAAGTCAAGACCATAGCATGTTCAGGACAAAAGATACAAAAACCGGAAGTTCTGCTGCAGTACCAAGGTCATCTACCAAGAGGCCCATATTTAACCTTGACCATTGTCTTCCTAAGACCTACCAACATACCAAATATCATCACAATCCATAAAGGCGTTATGAAGTTATGCTGCCTACGAATGTGCGAAAACACAAACACACACACGCACACACAGACACACGCACACACAGACAGACAAACAGACACACACGCCAAAAACAATACCTCCATTTTTCATGGAGCTAAATATGAAAATATAGAAACTTTTGTTTTTCGGCCCGCCTTGCTTTTTTTCGACCTTCCGCATTAGATTTGGAGTTTAAAATTTACTGTGGCCTTAATCAACATACACCTGCACTATATGTTCAGTACAACTTGCTCCTCTGTTGTATATAGTCGTGTTTATGTGAAGTCACCCAAACCGCGATTCTGGTAACTCACATTCCTCACATCTGGTCCACGTGCCACACATTCCTTGCAAACCGTGTCTGATCACGATTCTACGAAACTGCATTCATTGTTGTTTGATGAAAACACGCAAGTTTGCGTGTTATCAATTTTAGGGGTCAACGACCTGGTTGCTGGTGCCCCCTTCCAGCGTATCTCGGCCGAATGCCGACGTGGTCCCGCCAGAGGCGGTGAAGCTCGTCCTAGAACGGACACATTATTTGACCATTACTTCTCGATATCTTAAGTTGCTGCCACGTAAAATTTGGTATTGCGTATAAATAAAGAAATATCACCCCGTAATCCATGACCAGGCGAAGTCACATTGAAATCACATTGCCTTCAGACGCGAATCCCGATGCGGGAAAACCGATTCGAAACCACCTCTAGAAGTGGTTTGGGATCGAGGCGCTTTCAATGTGATTTCGGAGCGTTCAGATGGAGCCACTTGGAACAGGCTTCGGGGTAAACCACATGTAAAGCGTCTTGGGTGACTTCACATAAACACGGCCTATCTGTGCGGCAGGTCCCGCCTATATTATTCCATTCCTTCCAACATTCCTTACCTGTTTGTGTTCCTGCCTGAAGGTCCCGCCTACAACACCTGGCACCGGATGCACCTGTTGTGGCTGGAACGGGAGATACAGAAGATGTTGGGAGATGAGAGCTTCGCGCTGCACTACTGGGACTGGTCGGTAGGAGGTGCGTGTGTACATTTGTTCTCATGTCCAACCGAAACGATCATGGTACCTGACGGAAAATCCACAAATACAATATTTAGGTTTTACTACTAGTATGTAAGAAGAGGATCTAACGACGTAGCATTGATGCCTGACTGTTGTTAGATTTTCTTGGTGTATGTTGGCCCTAGAGCCGAGGAGCTAGCCTGTATACTGGCCCTGGCAACAGTCTGGCACCCAGGTTAGCCCTGGAGCCGAGGAGGTAGCCTGTATACTAGCCCTGGCAACAGTCTGGTACCCAGGCTAGCACTGGAGCAGAGGAGCTAGCTTGTATACTATCCCAGGCTACAGTCTGGTACCCAGCCCTGGAGCTAGCCTGTATAATGGCCCTAGGCCACAGTCGGGCACCCAGGCTAGCCCTAGAGCCGTCAGGAGCTAGCCTGTACAGTCTGGTACCCAGGCTACTAACGGCGGTTTCTACACCTCCATCTAACTTTGGTTCCGGCTGGTTCCCTAGGTACGGAGTGTGACGTGTGTACAGACGACATGATGGGAGCCCGCCACCCCCTGAACCCGACTGCCCTGAGCCCCGGCTCGCCCTTCTCCCGCTGGCAGTCCGTCTGTATGAGTCTGGACGACTACAACCGGCTGGTGACGCTGTGTAACGGGACGGACGAGGGGCCGATCTTCCGCAACCCCGGCGGGAACGTGGACCGGCCCGACTTCAGGACGCTCCCCAGCCGAAGAGATGTCGGTATGTCTAACTTTAATACTCTCCAAGCAGAGATTTGGGTTTTGGATTATTTTGGCGTGTTTTTAGGCTTTTTCTATCGGGGTTTCTTTTTTGCACTGGGGTTTTTTATGGGTTGGGGTAAAAACAAATCCAGTGAAAAAAGCCGGTACTCCCCTATCTTCCCGTCCGCTAGCCACTGTTCCTGTGCATAATGGTTTACTCCCATAATGGTCAAGTGTTCATTATATCGCAACAAAGGACCGCTTATGATAATAAAGACCGCTTGGGATGATTTTGTCCTGTGACTTCACGGCGTCATAACCAATATGAAACGGTTGATTGGTCAACTTCACTTGGCTGTAATAATAAACAATAAAGTTTCAAAACGGTGAACACTCTAGAGATCTCTAGATACAAAGCGTGACGGACCTTCCTCTATCCTTTTTTTTTCAGGACGCTGTCTGGACCTCCCGCTCTACGACAACCCGAACTGGACGGAGACTGCCGAGCGGAGTTTCCGGAACACGCTGGAAGGGTTCGACCATCCTGACGGGGAGTACGACCCAAGTATCCGCTCCCTGCACAACCTGGCGCACCTGTTCCTCAACGGCACGGCCTCCATCACACACGCCTCAGCTAACGACCCCATCTTCGTCCTGCTGCATTCTTACAGGTACGGTTCATTGTAACGTTACAGCAGCGACACCTACCTGCAGTACCATTTAGAAACAGTTAGGCCACACCGAGTTAATTTTATGGATGACATCCGCGCGCGCATTTATTTTCGCCTGTACTAAAAAAAAAGATCACGTCCTCCGAGGGTACTCCATGATAGTTAGCGACAGTACGGAGCCGGTGGTAACTCTGGAGAACGGCACCCAGGCTACCGAATAAGCTCCACGACTCAAGAACTCAGTACATACCTACAGTGCCGATTCATAAATTCTGCAACAAGCCAGCATGTGCCGGCATGTCGTATACGTCGCTATGTGCTGCCGCAAATTCACCATACCAGATTTGTATTCCTGTGGTTTAGTAGCATTTTTATTTCTGGCCGGAATTTTTTATTCGCCCGCGCGCACTACTTTGGGGGTCTTCAGTGAATGTCATCCATGAAATTAAGTCGGTGTGGCCTTATCGTTGCCCTGAAGAAGTTGAAAGACGAAACATCAGTGTGAAAATCAACTGGTTACTGAATAAAGAACCTTCTTGGAAAGTCTCTTGCCAACCTGATGAAATTATTCACGGAGGAACAGTTCAAGTTTAGAATCTTACAGGATATCTAATATATGGACTTCTAAAATGCCATTAATTACAAGATTGCAGATCAGTTGTATTAGATAGTGGTTGAAGCGATATAAGGTACGATAATATGAGATCTTATAATAAAATGATTAACGATTCTGTTCCAGTGACGCCATCTTTGATGCCTGGCTGGTTCTGCAAAACGCGTCGTCATTGGTCAGCTACCCGGAGGAGGGCGCCCCTATAGGTCACAACCTGAACAGCACCATGGTGCCGTTCTTCCCTGTGGTCACCAACGCAGACGTCTTTCAGTTTTCACAGGACATCGGTTATGCTTTCGACGCTCTTCCTGAAAGTGAGTTGGACTACTTTATGAAATCGGCTGCTGTAGGTACATTAAGAAACTTCCCTCCTTCCACCCCTTCCCCTTCCTCCCTTCCTTCCTTCCTTCTTTCCTTCCACCCACCCATTCCCCTTCTTTCTCTCCTTCCCCTCCTTCCTTCCTTCCTTCCTTCCACCCCATCCCCTTCTTTCCCTCATTTCCTTCCTTCCTTCCTTTTTCCCTTTTTTGGGACTAAAATATTGTTTTGGGTGGTGCTAAGTCATGCTAGGTTTGTATGTATGGTTTCCAAAGTAAACTAAGTCGTAAACTAACGACCGTTCTGATTGTTTAGGGGTGCCAGAGGGACCATCTCAACTCACCAGCTTAGAGATTTTCGGCATGGGAGCCGGGGCCTTCATAGGTTGTGTCGTGTGTGTCCTGGTCGCGTTCGGGATCGCTCGTAAGTTGTCGGCAAAACGTTGGGGAGGACCCGACGGCAAGGGAGTGTACCAACCACTCCTGAAGGAGGAGGACGGCAGGGGGCGCTGCTACACGGCGGATACTACTGTAACATTCATGGATAACGACGTCAGGTGTAACGTGGATCGCCGGTAGATATAAAGGGCGACATGAAACTACCTGTGTCGGGGAGGATTTGTAAATATTGCTCCTCAAATGCAGTGGAAGACGAAAATCATTTCATCTCTAATTGTTCATTTCATGACGATATCAGAAAACAATTACCAGTATTTACCACCGTGTCCAAATTGCTCCCTCTATCCCCTACCACGAGAAAACAATTTTACTACTAAAATCAAAGCACCCTATAGAAGTGGGTAAATTCCATTGCCTCAAAAGAAGAAGTCAAACCCAGCAAAACTAGTATCATGTATGTTGTAAAATGCTGTATAATGCTAGACATAGTCCCTCATACCGTTGTATTTTCTTTTTTACCACCTCCTTTATCTTATCTGTTTTTTTCTTCCAGTCTGTTTAACTTTTACAACGTTTTATTTTTCACTGTTGTAGCTTGAAAGTAGTAGATGACGAAAATAACATGAAGTATGAAGGTCGATATTTTGATAACATCTGATTCAAGGTATATTTATTATATACAATTTATTATTTTCTATTATTTTTACGCAGGCTAAACGTTTTATCAATGTATATAACTGCAGCTCCGTGTACAGATTTGTTTGAATTTCGGCACATGGTTAGTTATTAACTAAGATTCCAAAATTGAAATAAACATCGTAAATTGAGGCCATTTTAGCAATATTTCAGATAACGCAGTAAAATAACGTGTAATGCCTGAACCTGTCAGCAGTCACTGTGAAAATTACGTATTATATGCCGGTGAAGGTTAGATACGCCATAATACATGTAATAAGATACGTAAGGTGATAAGATACGCCAGTTACTGAAGTAACTGGATATGATAACATATACCTCCTGCAGGTTTGGAATATCATATTCCTTGTTATGTTTACTGAAGGAAAACATATTGTTTTTGCTCAGTTTCTTCCTCTTCTCCTAACAATGACCTCTGACCTGGCCAATGACCTTATTTGTTGACGTCTGTCACCATGGCAACTGGTGTTGGGTTACATAATGTTGCAATTTCACTAGAGTAGGAGGGATTTAGACTCCTGTCACCATATATATGTATGTCAATGTGTTTGAGTAAGAATAAACAAATAAGCTTTGCAAATGTTACTTTTCTAGTTATCTGTTGTTCTCGTATAGCCCCACTAGGCTGCTATATGGATAATATAGGGGAATTTTTAACATTAACATATCAACGAAAGAAAAAAAAAGAGTCATAAATGCATGGGATTTCCAAAGAGGATGGTAAACAAAACGCAACAATGAAAAGAAAGCTCCCAAAATAAACATGACACACATGTATATACAGTATATGAATTGTTGGAGTGAAATAAAAAAAGTGGCAAACTAGTCTTGAAGTTTGATATTTTATATTTCTCGCCCTTTCCAATAGCAATTATTAATAGAATTAAAGGAAAAGGAGTAGCATAGTGGATAGCCATTGCCTTCACTTTGCTTTTTTAAAACCCTTGCCCTGCTGAGCCCATATATATATATATATATACGGGTTGCAAATACAGTATCATCTATATAGTGCCCTGTATGTACGACTTGGGGGGCGGGGCGTTTCTTGTGTAACACATCACACCGCAGCGAAACATAACAAATGTGGAAGTAACTATGCCACCGCAGGGCAAAAAAGTCAAGGGTATGTGACCTGGTTAAGACATGAGATTGTTTAAAAATATTGTGTAAAAATTGCCAGCAGGACAAGAGTTAAGGGGTTAGGATGGTAGAATTCAACAAAAATGGGGTCGTGTGGCGGTAGCGCGTTCGGCTCACACCCAAGGGGTCGCGGGTTTGAATCATGCCCATGTCACCGATCTTGTGCCCTTGGGAAAGGCACTTTACACGACTTTCCTCACTTCACTCAGGTGGAAATGAGTACCTAGCTTCGGTTAGGGACGTCCCTCGGATAGGACGTTAAATGGAGGTCCTGTGTTTGGGGAGAGCCTAGCACACCTCACGCACGTTAAAAACCCACCACACTTATCGAAAAGAGTATGGGACCTTCCCGGTGTGAGTGGTTCAAACCTTACAGTCCGGTCTTACGCAGCTTGTACATGTACGTACATGTACAAAACTGGTGTGCTACGCCTTAAGGTGGTTTACCGATTATGCGAAAAAAAATTCAACTATATGGTGGCCAAACTGCCCTGGCCAATTTTACTCCCAATTTGGATAAATACATGTACTACTGTTTTAAACCCCGCGTTGTTAGTCAGGTGGCCATGCTGTTCTTGGTACATGGTCGGAAAAAAGTCGTTGACCGTGATTCAAAACACAAAACAAGCCGTGAAATTGAGGTCGGTGCTGAATGTCATGTGACCTTTGTGTCAACAGCACCGAAGTATGTAATCAAATGGCGACATGCCGCGAAACAAGTACAGTACATGACTTTGACTGTTCTGACTCCTTCTTTGAGTTTTTTTTTTTATATTCCAACATTTCATGACTAGACATGGCGACGACACACTCAACTTTTTTCAACTTATTCTATGTCGCCACCAACGCATAGGACAAATACAGGACAGGACAATACTCATTTTCACTTTAGTTAAGTGAGGAAAGTTGTGTAAAGTGCCTTTCCCAAGGGCACAAGATCGTCAAGACTCGAACCCGGGACCTCTTGGTTTAAAAGAAGCTGTACGACTCTCGATTGTTCTCGTACGGGTAGTTTATATACGTTTGAGCGATGTCTTTATGCCTGCTCGCCTCACCCTTGAGATTTACCCCTGTGTCTTGGATACAAGAAATGTGGTCTATTCAGCCGGGCTTACGGCCTGTTTGCTTCTCTGTTTGAGTCAAAGTAGAAGTCGACACCAACAACAAAGCGGGGATTGAGTAGACTAAACACCCTGTATTTGTGTTCTCGAGACGTGTTAAACACGGAATGTGGATCGACATGCCTGTCATACTGTACACTGTACTGTAACCTGCTGTATTGTACTGTGCAATATTGTTCCTATACTATACTATACTATACTATACTATACTATACTATACTATACTATACTATACTATACTATACTATACTATACTATACTATACTATACTATACTATTTTTTAAGTTAAAGTCTATACTATACTATACTATACTATACTATACTATATTGTATCATACCGTGCTCTACTCTTTTCTACTCTACTCTACTCTACTCAACTCTACTCTACTCTACTCAACTCTACTCTACTCTACTCAACTCTACTCTACTCTACTCTACTCTACTCTACTCTACTCTACTCTACTCTACTCTACTCTACTCTACTCTACTCTACTCTACTCTACTCTACTCTACTCTACTCTTCTATACATACTATACTGTTCTGTACTATGCTATACATACTATACTATACTGTACTGTACTATACATACTATACATACTATACTATACTATACTATACTGTACTATACTGTGCTATACAATACATACTATACTGTACTGTACTATACTGTGCGATACAATACATACTATACTGTACTGTACTATACTATTCTGTACTATACATACTATACTGTACTATACCACGTAGATTTCATAATGAAAGCAACTTTTTTCCAACCTCTTTTTTTATTCGCACGCTCGCATCAGTTTTGGGGTTCCCAGAGGATGTCATACATATAGTCAAATCAACATGGCCTTAGCTTGAGTTTCATGGCCTGGGACCTCAATACTGCATTACACCAGTGCCGTCTCCATTTGTATCACAGTAGCCCCCACACAATGCCCTTCTGACAATGACAAAACATACAAATACTGAGATCAGACTCAAAGGGAACCCGGTCACACAATGCGCGTTATTTGAGGACTTAAGTCAGAACAATTACTTTGCAGGCAAGTTCCGTTCGACCATGAAAATTGCATGTTCGGGGAACCTACAAAAATTCACAGGGACGTAGAAAAAAAATCAAAGCTTATATTTACTGGCAAACTGTACACTATTTCTTGTCTGAAATAAAATAAGACGTTAACAAATGATGTGCAAGTTTTGACCAGCACTGATTTTCTGAGTAGTAAAAACGATACTTATTTGTTCTTCTGTCACCCCTATGCTCAGTGGTAGGGTCCAGCCATGGTACGGCAGATGTGCCCACAGTGATTCATATGAGGACCACTGTAGGCTCGGCGACAGAAAGTCAACATTATTATGGGATCATGAACAAGACCGGTTCTGGTGGGAACATGTCCGGTAGCAGCAGGGTCGAGCGGCCGTGTTGTCGGGAGTTCTGTCAGTGCCTGTGTAAGATGGCAGACGTGAGTGAAATGTTCGGGCTAGCGGACGCCTGTCGGGGGCTGTTCTCCCGCGCCAAGTCGGCGGCGGCGGCGGGCGCGCGGCGGCACGGGCAGGGGGACAGCCGCCGGGACCGGCTCGCCTGCTGCCGGGGACTCAGGCTCACAGGACGGCACGAGGCTGGACCATTTGATAGCTGAGCTACGGGCGAACATGGTAGGGAATTTTATCTACTAAAGGACTGGGTATGTTGTTGAGGACCCTTAAAACATACCCCCAATACAACCTAACCTCCAAGCAGAGGTTGTGGGGGAATGATCGTTACCTTTTTATATATGGCCATTTTTTTTGTCGGTACACCCACGTCGGTGGCCGGCGACCTTCTCTGGCTAATGGATACTGCCTGGCCGTCTTTTGCCACCGAAAGGGATATCTTCTTGGAGATTAAATACAACCGTCTTTGGTATCGGAGCGCGTTCAAATGCAACTTTCTGTGTTATTTTAAAATGCCTTTTAGTACAGTACTGATACTGCAAAATTATGAAACCAAAGTAGGACATGTCCAACCCTTCTGAAAAGACAAACTAAAAACTCTAGGAATACAAATAATTGCTTTAGTCGAGACCAACACAAACCTTGCAGTATGTGTTCAGTGTGCAACACAAAAAGAACCCTTCAACCCAACCCCAACAACTCCTGATTAGCGAGTAAACGAAAGTGAATGTCTAACATTCTTCTATCTTATCGAGACTTATATTTAGGACGTCTTGTGAGGAGTGTGTCTGCTATCGCCGGAGGGGACTTAAGAAACGGAAAGACTCAGTATGTGAGACATTCTGTCGGCAGATGTTCCATGCCAGTATTTATGTAGTGTAATCAGGTACATGACAGCTCGGACATACAAGCTGTACCCGCGTGTATCGTTTAGGAATGTAACAGCAAGAACAGCATCAGCTCAATGCTGCATGTAGCTAAGCTGTACATGATACAACGTTCAAGTATTTTTTCTTATATCAAGGCCGGCCACACCGACTTAACTTTATGGATGACATCCTCTGAAGAACCCCAAACTAGTGCGCGCGGGCGAATTAAAAAAAAAAAAAACAGCCAAAAATAAAAATGCTACTAAACCACAGGAATACAAAGT